CAGGAATGGGGCTCAACCCCTCATCCCTCGCCCCTTAGCCCCTCAGCCTCCTTGCTTCGCGGAGCTGCCAGCCCTCCCCACCTCCCGTTGCTTTCCCTCCAGCCTAACCAGCCTCCCTGCCCACTGATCTTCCTTGGCTCTGTCCCTTTCCTTCTCAGGCTGAGCCAGACTGGACTGTCTCGGAGAAGCCCCTTCCTGCTGGCCGACACCTTCGGCCTGTGCCCACGGGTTCGGAAGGTGGATCTCAGGTGGGCGTCGCCCTGGGATGACTGGGACTAGTCTTGGAGGATTGTGCTTGGAGTGTGGTGGGTATAAAGGGGTAGGATGGAGGCAGAGGCCAGGCTTCTAGAGGAGGAGTGCCCATCCCCGTGGAGGTCTGGAGGTTGTGGCCAGGGTGGCTGACCCGGCGCCTTCTGCTACAGGTCCCTGCAGCATGCTACCCTGCACTTCAGCTCTCACGAGGAGCAGGACAGCGTGTGCTGTGGGTAAGTCCACCCGAACAGGGCCCCGCTAGGCCGTGGGTATTGGGGACCTGCCTCCCAGGTGGCCAGAGAGAGTTCAGACTGCCTACCGTAGACTCCTTGCTGGGAAGGGCTCCCAAGGGGACTTCTTTCACCAACATGAAGAAAGAATGGTCCAGAAAAGGTTCAGCTTTACTCAAGGGCCAATGAAGTCCACGTCAGATTGAACCAGAACTGGGGGACCTGGTCCTGCAGAAAGGGCCTTACCACCTGCCTGCCGGGTTTTTAATCTGAGCTCCTCAGATTCAAGTTAGCCTCTCCGATTCTCAGCTTCTGCAGCTATAGCAGGGAGCCACTGCAGTGTGGAGTGTTTGCGAGGATTAAATGAAGTAGCTTAAAAAGCGTCAGGTACTCAGATGTGAGTGCGTCTCCTCTGCTGAGTCCTGGAGTGGTGCTCAGTGGGTGCAGGACGACGGGGCTGGAGAGCAACCTTCGAATGTGAGATGACGTGTCGTAACTATTTGATGCCACCAGCTCTCCATGAGATCTTGGACCAGTCCCTTCTTCTCTCTGGATCTCAGACTCCTCAGCTATGAAATAATAATAAAGAGGACAGGGGCCAGGGGGTGGCACAGCAGTAGTGCACCTGGGCACACATGGGAAAGATCCCAGGTTCGCATCCCAGGACCTCCCTCATACATGGGACATGCCTGCATGTATGATCCCAGATGGCTGAGACTGGGGGAGATTGTAGCACGAAGACTCTGCTGGGGGTGCTTCTCTCTCCCTCTCTCCGAAGTAAATAAATAAACTTTTAAAAGAGAATGTTAAGGAGCCAGCAGGTGGCATGTGGTGATTAAGGCACTGGACTCTCTGATAGCCGACCGCAGTTCTAGTCCTGGACCTGGTGACTTGCTTTCTTCCTTTCTCTCTCTGTCTCTCTGTCTCTGTCTCTCTCTGGTGAGTACACATGCCCTATAGCAAAATTTTAAAAATAAGTCAATAAAATTAAATAATTTTTAAAAATTTAAGCTAGGACAGCTAATGTTTGCTGAGCACTGAGCCTCTGTAAGGTTCCAGTGTAAGAACTTTAAGCATATTAACTCCTATAAGGCTCACAGCTGTGGCCACACAGCCACAGGGACAGGGCTGGACTTGAACTCAGGCCGTCTGACTACGCTCCCAGTCCAGGGGCAGACACACTGTTTATGTAAAGGATTGAATAGTAAAGAGGCAGGGTTTTTCAAGTCACCCAGTCACTGCTGCAACTACCCAACTCTGCCGTTGTAGTTTCAAAGCGGGCAGTTTGTAAATACTATGTGGCCGAGTGCCAGAAACACTGTATTTACAGACGCTGAATTTCACTGATTTACGAACACAGATTTCATGCATTTGTGTGTCGGGAATTTTAGGTTGCCGGGAAAGTCATCAACTACGTTTCTATGTTTTTCTATGCAAAAATGCGTCTTGACTTTCTTGATGACCCAATATCATCCTGCTTTTGAATTTTTTCTTCAACTATTTGCCAATGTAAATTCCGCTCTCAGCTCATAGGCCCTACGAAAGCAGGCGGTGGGGGCTGTAGCTCGCTAACCCCTGACCTAGCCCAGCACTACGTTACCGTTTTCCAAAATTAGGACATCGATGGGGGTGTGATGACCTTTATGAGGGCAGGCTGATCACATGGTAGCTCAACACATTCATCCCTTAGTGAGATCGTTTTTCCCTTTTCAGTCCCCTTCCTGATTAAGGCCGAGAGGAAACCTCAGCTGGGCATTAGCATGTCTTTAATACCTCTCTCACACTTGTTTGCTCTTTGCTAAAAGGCACATGCACTCACCAGAGAGAGAGACAGAGAGACAGGGAGAGGAGAAAGCATATTCCAAGGGGAATGGCCATGCAGCCATCCCTTCTCCTCCATCTCTCCCTCTGTGCAGGATTTTTGGGCACACACGCACATTCACCCAGTTTCTCAAACTACCGGCTCCAGGACTCAGACCACAAGCAAGGTCGGCCACAGGGGATCCAACAGTCTCATCTTCTAGGCCAAGGAGCCAGCCCACTAACCTCCCTTTTCGTTTTTTTATGTTAAGCGTGGTCCCTCTTTCAGCCTTCCAAAGGCAGAGGTGCTATCACTTTAAGTCTCAGCAGCCTTGGCCCCTGACAGGAGCGGGCCTCACCCTTATTTCTCTCCCATCCTGCCCACATCTGTTCTTTGACCAGTGGGTCATTAAAATGAGCTGATATTCAACCTGAGCTTGAATCAGAATCACCAGGTAGGCCTTGGTCCCCCAAATTTCTGATTCAGTGGGTTTCAGCTTAGGGTCACATATGTTGCATCTCGAGCTCCCAAGGGATGCTGATGTGTCTGGCCAGGGACCACACTGAGAAGCACCCCTGCCTAGAGAGATGTGGGTGTTGGAAACTGCAGAGGAGTGGAAGCAGGGGATGCTGGGGATTTTCAGAGGGTCCAGGCTTGGGTGGGACCCCACCTGGAGTTCAGTGGCTCCACTTGAGACTAGCCAGAGTACATGGGGTGATCAGCCAAATACCCCATCTTCTGCTTACCCCTCTCCCTCCACTCAGCAGGTTCACAAGCTGCGACCTCGGCCGGGAGCACGTGAAGACGCTGTGCCAGTCACTGAGCACGTGCAAAGACCTCAAACAGCTAGAGTAAGTCTGTTACTTACAGAGGAGGGGGAGGCCCGGGGGGCGGGGTCTGGGGCTGTCCTGGGTGCACGTGTGCTGGTGTGTACCTGACTACACCCATCAGGACCATCTGTCAGGAAGTGCCCATCTCACCCTCACGCGGCAGTGGAGCTGGTGTCACGCCGTGGTCCTCTGACTTGGAGAGCCCTTCCCAAAGTACTGCAGGAGCCCCTCAGCCTCCTGGGGACTAAGTATATCCCAACTCTGCCGGCAGATGGGAGGGACTAAAATGAAGGACCCATTGGTGTGCCTGGCAGGCAGCTGAGAGTTCCAGATGCCTCAGGCTGGGGGCGGGCAGGAGTTGACAGGGTCATGGTACTGTTGAGAAACAGTATCTGTGTGTTCTGTCTTTTTGTTGTTGTTGTTGTTGTTTGAGAGATTTTTTTTGCTATAGGGCACGTGTGCTCACCAGAGAGACAGAGACAGAGAGACAGAACATGAGAAATCACCTCCCAGGGGGCATGGCCACACCACAATTCCTTCTCCTCCGTTCTCTTCTCAAAATTTTAGGCACACGTGCACACACACTCAGCATTGAGTTTTTTTTAAGATGCCGGGTCCGGGACTTGAACCACAGTCAATTATGTGGGAGTCCAACGACGAAACTGCTAAGCCATCTGCTGGTCCCTGTATGTTCTGTCTTAGGTGTCCAAATAGGGCAATCCCGTTTGGGTGGAAAAATAATGATAATACTAGCTAACACCCAAGGAATACTTCTGCTACTCTTCTAAGTGCTTTATGTTGCTGGTTTGGTTTTGTTCTGTTCTGTTCTGTTCTGTTCTGTTCTGTTTTGTTTTGTTTTACATGTGTTTTCATCTCTCCAACAACCCCAGGTACCGTTATTTTATAGAAGACAGAACTGGGCCCAGAGAGTTTAGGAACCTGTCCAAGGTCCCACAGCTAAGATTATGTAGAATCTTTGCTTAAAATCTTTAAAACACCATCCTAGGCCTGGTGATAAATTGAGTTGACTACCAAAACACCATGCCGTTTCAATTCCTGTTGTGGTGTGGCCAAGAAGAGAAAATAGGGCAGATGAAAATCATGACTTCTGACCAAAGATGAACGAGAAGTACAACTTTGGATTTTTCTGGTTTTTGTTGTAGATGTGTTTGGGTTTTTTTTTTTTAATTATTTTAAAGATGACTTTAGTAAATGGCTTCACAGCATCAGCAATTTTTAAATGAAATCTTTTAGAAAAAGACAAACAAGTATCTAAAGTGTCAAAGACGTAGGAGGGGGTACCAGCAGATGGCATAGTGGTTACATTGCTGGACTCCCACATGGCTGACCGCAGTTCGAGTCCCAGACCCCATGACTTGAAAATTACACTGGGCCTGTGTGTGTGTGTGTGTGTGTGTGTGTGTGTGTGTGTACCCAAGATCCCTAGAGGAGAATGGAGGAGAAGGGATTGTGGCATGGTATCCCCGATGGGAGGTAATTTCTCACTTTCCCTCTCACCCCCTCTCACCGTCTCTCTCTCTCTCTGTCTCTCTCTCCTCTGCAAGCACATGCACCCTAATGCAATAAGATAAAATAAAACAAAACAAAACAAAAATTTAAAAAGACATAGGAAGAAAATCCAATATCCCAGAGCATGTTGGTTGCATTGTTTCTGCAACGATAGTTAAAGTCACACGATGAAGGAGCCTAAGAACGTGTTCTCGTGTTCCGGTGCAGTTTCCCACACAGCATTCACAAACTCAAAGAAGCCAGTTGGGTAAAGGCATCCTCTAGACATTTATCTTTTTTAAAAAAAATGTACTCTTGGACAAAATTCGTGGCTCCCGAAGGATGCAGGCCGGGAGCGTGGTAACACCCTAACTGGCTTTCCCCTAACTCGCGCAAGCCCGCGGAGGCCCACGAGCCCTGGGAGTGGCCACCAGGTGTTGAAGGGGAAGATGAGGACTAGCTTACTGGGGTGCTGGTGAGGGGATGGTGGCAGGGAATACGGGAGTTGGTGACAGTGCTAGTGGTGATGGAGGTGAGGTGACGGTGGTGACGGGCGTGGTGGCGTGAGCTGTAGGGATAACGGTGGTGGTGGTGGTCGTGGTAATGGTGACCTTGGTGCTGGTGTGGTGCAGCGATGTCGCACAGCAGTGGCAGGACACCCAGTGGCCGTGGTAACTGTGAGGAGTAGGCCCAGGTTGTGGAGACGTGTCTGACCATTACCGACTGCCTCTCACCCCTTGCAGCCTCTCATCAAACCAGCTGGGAGATGACGGGCTCAGATGTCTCCTGGGGTGTCTGCCACAGCTTCCCATCTCTGGTTCACTTAAGTAAGTAGGGGACAACCCCCCGACGGCAAGGAAGAAGACTCCCCTAAGCCAAGAGGATGAATGGGTTCCTTTTGAGGACAGCCCGAAGGAACCCCCCAGAGGTCAAGGACCAGGGAAGGGAAAGGAGCGATTATTACTTGATTGCCCTCACCTGGGGTCCTTCCCTCACAAGCCCACCTTGGGCACAGCCCCCACTAGACACCCCAGAGCAGCTTTGACTCATGGCAGGATCTGCCCCTCCATCACTGCCTTCAGCCAAGTGGACCTAGGGTCAGAAGGTGCCAGTTCATCCTTAACCAGATACCGTGTGATTGTAGCTGCCCAGCTCCGAGTCCAGCCCATCCCTGAAGCACCCCTGACATGCTTTACAGGATGTGAACTTGAGATGTCCCTGCAGTGGGAGGGTCCTGAGGAAGCCATCCACACGCTCATCATCTCCCCAGTGACCTGGGAGACAGCCAGGGCCAGGAGACAGCCTGTGGCTTGTGCTCTGGGAAGCCCTGACCCATGTGGGGTGGCGCTGCCAGCCTGGCCTCGTCAGCACGTGCCCTGGGCCACAGGCACCATGAGAGCAGCCCTCAGGGGAGTGGAGCTTGTGCCAGTTCTGCCCATGTGGGGATAGTGACCCTTCTGGGCCTCTCTCAGGGCTCAGTGTCTCCATCTGGAGAGTGGACACTTGGACACTGAGGCCTCGCTTTCTGAAAGCATCATCCAAAGGGGTGGGGTGTGGGGTGCTGGCCAGGGCTGCATGGTCCTGCTCCTTACCCACATTGGACTTACCTTTCTCTTCCAGTCTGAGTGACAATGGCTTCTCTCAGGAAAGTGCCCTGGACCTGGTGGAGACGCTGCCCTGTCATCCACGTGTCCGGGAGGCCTCAGTGAAGTAAGATGTTAGGACCATTGACCGACAGTGGGGAGCATAAGCCCCCCACACTTTGTGGCTCCATCAGTGTCACTTCTCTGAGTCTTGGGATTCTCTGGGTGTGGGGTCATGATGTCCATTCCCTGGGGCCCAGGTGCCATGGGGGTGGGGCAGTCAGGTGCTAGCATCCTCATGGGATGAGTTTGAGGTCTGCTCTGGTTGGCAAGGGCTGATCCTCTGTGGCTACCACCCTCCCTTGGCCCTATGGGACCTGCCCCCCTTCCCTCTCTGGGTCCCCTGGGTACCTCGGGTGTCTAGGTTGCTGGAACGTTTGGGTCCCAGGCCTCCCCACCCTCCTCTCTCTGCAGCCTGGGCTCTAAGCAGAGCTGCTGGATCCACTTCTCCAAACAGGAGGAGGCTGGGAAGATACTCAGGTAATCCTGGTGGGGTGCTGGGGACAGAGGACACAAAGGGGCCGAGGAGGCTGGTCCTGTGGCAGCCTCCATGTCGCTTTCTTCACTGGCCTGTCTCCTCCTTCACACAGCCTGCCTTGAACTCACTGTCTGGGTCTGGGTCCCTAGACATCCCCCCGGTGCCCCACACCACCAGCCTTGGGCAGGGCCTCTGCATTGCACTTGGGCCTCTGAGCCAGATCTTAGTCCTGAGCCAGTCAGTCTGAGTGAGCCGCCCTGTGGTGTTCAAGTAGGCCTCTTTCTGAGCAGCAGTCTGTGAGGCATGATCTGGGCCTGCTGCTGGCCACATGGAGCTGGGGCACCTGAAGGGCCAAGAAGTCCCAGCACACTCAGCCCCAACTTCCCTCCCCAGGGAGCCTCGAACCAGGCAGTGATGGAGAGGAAGTGCTTGGGGTCCAGAGTATGACTGACTTGGCTTGAAACCTAATTCTGCCCTTATTTCTTTCCACGGGCGTGTCCTTGGTTAGTCGGGTCTCCAACCTGTGAAGGGTGCTGTGAGAGTTAAATGAGATGGCACATGTAAGGCAGGCCCCCCCACCCCGTGCCCCCGAGGCAGGCCCAGCGTCTGGCCTGCACCGGGGGCTCCACAATAACTTACGCTAACACTTCCTCGGAGACAGGAAGCTCCTCCCAAGGCAGGACTGCATCTCTGGCCTTTCTCAGGCCATGGTCCAGGCTTTTGCCCTTGGTGGTGGTTCCCCCAGCAGGCCCTGGGGGAGACTGGACCAACACAAGGTGGCAGCCCCCTCAGGCCTCACCCAGGCTCCACCCCTTGCTCTCTGCCCTCAGGTTCAGGGAGTGCAGCTTCCGGCCTGAGCAAGTGCCCAGTCTGGTCATTGGCCTGAGCCAGGCCCTGCAACTGATGGAGCTCACGTGAGTGACTAGGCCAGGCCCAGGGGACAGCTGAGAGTGGGGGCACCCTGCCAGAGCCACCCAGTAAGTCACCTCTGTCCCCAGGCTAAGCTGGTGCTGCCTGGGCCTGGAGCAGCTGACTGTCCTCCTGCAGATGGTGAGGCGGCCACAAGGGCTGCTCACTCTCAGGTACCTTCTTCCTCCTTGCTCCTGGGAGGGGGCTGTGGCATGAAAGGGGGCCATGGGAAGGCAATGGAGTATGGGCCCTCAGGATCATGGCTCTGGCCATCATCTGTACTCAGAGCCCTGCCACCTGGACCCTGCCCATCTGTCCCAAAGACTACCACCCACCTGGACCCTGCCAAGGCACACAGAGAAGCTGTGTGCTTTGGGATGTAAGGGGGGGAAGAGCTCCAAAGGATACCCAACTAAGGATAAAAATAGTGTAAAACAGGGCCAGCTCCATGGCCTAGTGGTTAACAGAGCTGAATCCTCCTAGCCCTGGAGGCTTGGAAAACACTACAGGTACTTGTGCATGCACCAAATCCCCGCAAGATGGAGAAATAGAGGAGAAGGGATTCCAGCATGACCATGCCCTACTGGTGGGTGTCCTCTTCCTCTTCCTCTCTGTCTTTTCTCTCTCTTTGGTGAATGCACACACTCTCTGGCAAATTGTATAAATACATAAATAGTATAAAACAAATATCATGTTTGTTTATCATGTTAATTCTTAAACATTCATAAAAAGAAGATACCTGGGGGCTGGCAGGTGGCATGGTGGTTAAGGGCACTAGACTCCCACATGGCCGACCATGGTTCAAGTCCTGGACCTGGCGGCTTGCTTTTTCTCTTTCTTTCTCTCACTCCCTCTCACTCTCCATCTCTCTGTATCCCTCTTGATCAAATTACGATAAATAAATAAAGTTAAATAAAAATAATTCTTAAAAAAAAGAAAGTACCAAAAATTAGAATAGTTACTCATATTCCTGGACCAGCCCGTGGCCTTTTGGTTAAGGTGGCTGAATTCCATATAGCCAATCTCATGGTTGAGTCTCGAAGCCAGTGGCTTGAGAAATATGCTGGGTGCATGTGTGTGAGTGCCCAAAATCCCAGAAGGAGGGAGAGATGAAGGAGAAGGGGTTGTGGAATGAGCCCATGCCGTGCTGAGTGTTTTCTCCCTCTCTCGCTGTCTCTGGTGAGTGCATGTGCCCTCTGGCAAATTAAAAACTAAAACACACATAAACACTTATATTCCAGGGACCAGCAGGTGGCGTGGTGGTTAAGGCGCTGGACACTCCCACATGGCTGACCAGGGTTCAAGTCCTGAATCTGGTGGCTTGCTTTCTCACTTTCTCTCTCTCTCTCTCACTCTCACCCTCTGTCTCTCTTTGGTCACATTAAAAAAATAAATGAATGAATAAATAAAATAAATCATTATTTTGAAAAAACTTATATTCCCATATCTAGGTTTGGTGATAGTTCTTATTTTTCCATATTTGCTTCATATTTTTATTTTTTGGCTGTTAGAAGGTAAGTTACAGATTCATGACTTACAGCCCTTCAATATTTCTCCATGAGTCTCTAAAAGAGGAACTAATTCTGCCCTTATTTCCTTCCCTGGGCGTGCCCTCGGTTAATTAACTTCCCCACTGAAAAGGGTGCCGTGAGAATGAAATGAGATATTGGCTTATCAGGCAAGCCCTCAATCCATGCAGCCAAGGCAGTTTTCCACATAAACACTATTCAATTGGGACACCTAAGAAACTCAATAGAAGTTCCCTAGTGACATACATTACCCAGTCTAATCTAAATTTCCCCATGTGCCCAAAGGGGCAGCTGGCTTGTTGGATCCAGGACCCAGTCAAGGTCCATATTTGCATGGTGGCGACAGCTTTTATGACTTAATCTATGGCACGCCTCACTTGTCTGTTTCATGTCAGTGACTGTTGACAAAGTCGGTGTGTGCTATAGACCGTCCCACCAGCTGGCTCTGTCTGGTGGCCTCCTCACGATGCCACAGACCCTGTTCCTCTCATCCCGACTTTCCTGTTAACTGGAAGTTAGATGAAAAGACTCGAGGGACGAATAGATGGCATAATGGTTGCATCACTGGACTCCCACGTAGTCAACTGCAATTCAAATCCCAGACCCGGCAGCTTAATCTCACACTGGGCGCGTGTGCGTGCATGCCCAAGATCCCAAGAGGAGAATGGAGGAGAAGGGATTGCGGTATGGCCATCCCCCTGGGGGGTGATTTCTTGCTTTCTGTCTCTCTGTTTCTCTGATGAGTGCATGTGCCCTATAGCAAAAATCTTTCTAAAAAAAAAAAAAAAAGGCTCAGTGAGATTCAGGGTACAGAGTTGTGCCCCAAATACCTTGTGGGCAGTGCTGTGTGCTTATCTTCATATCCACAGTAGGGCATGTCAGGTCTGACATTCTCCAAAATCACTTTTTGAAATTGTGAAATACAAAGAGAGATAAGAAATAGGATTAAAGAAACTTTCTCATCTTCCTTTATCTTTTGTCCTGATACCTAGTCTAGTTTTTAAAATTTCAGACTTCACTACTCTTTGAATTGATAATTCCAATTTTCACATTGTTGTTATTGGAAAACCATATCTAATAAAGGTTTTCGTTATTACCCCCCACACACATACACAAAAAAAATGGTGAAATACAGGGGCCAGCAGGTGGCATGGTAGTTAAGGAGCTTGATTCCACATGGTCGAACATGGTTTGAGTCCTGGACCCAGTGGCTTGAATATCATGTGGGGTGTTTGCATGTGGGCCAAAAATCCCAAAAGGAGAGTGGAGGAGAAAATATTGAGGCATGACCATTACCCCTGGGAGATGAATTCTCACTTTCCCTCTCTCTCTCTCTCTCTCTCTCTCTCTGAAAAGTGCACATGCCCTATGGCAAAAATCTAAAAAAAGGAAAAAAAAAAAGATGTGAAATACACATAATCAAATTTTCCTTGGGAAATGTGTTTAAGTGTACAGTTCAGTAGTATTACTTATACTCATGCTTTTGTGCAACTACTCCCTGGAACTGTTCCATTCTTGCAAAGCTGAATCTCTGCCCCCCATTAAGCAAGTGTCTCATTCCCTCTTTCCCCAGCCTCTGGCAACCACCATTCTACTTTCTGTTTCTATGAGGTGCCTCATATCTAGACTCATACCACATGGGACCAGCAGGTAGCATGGTGGTTAAGGCACTGGACTCCCATATGGCCAACCATGGTTCAAGTCCTGCTCCTGGTGGCTTGAAAATTATTCCAGGTATAGGTGTATGCAAGCCCAAAATCCCAAGAAGAGAATGGAGGAAAAGGGATTATGGCTTGGCCATCCTTCTTGTGGGGATGCAGGGGATGGTTCCTCACTTTCCCTCTCTTTCTCTCTCTCTGACAAGCACATGCAAAACAAAAACAAAGTAGAATCATACCACCTTTTGTGACTAGCTTCTTTCACTTAGCATAATGTCCTGAGATTTGTCCATGTTATAGCACGGGCCAGCCTTTTAAAGGAAGATGAAATAATATTGCATTGTTTTATATATATGTATATATATATAAATGTGTATATATATATATATATATATACATATATATCCCATTTTGTTTATCCATTCAGCTGTCAATGGACACTCGGGTAGTTTCCATCTTTTGGCTATTTTGAGTAATACTTCTATGAACATGGGAGTACAAATATTTCTTTTTTTGTTCCTGCCTTTAATTTTTTTTCAGATATAAATCCAGAATTGCTGGATTACCTAATGTAACCAAAAATAGCATTTTAAAATAAAACATTCCATAATCTAAAAATGATTTTGAATATGCACTCATTGTAGAAATGTGTGGAAAATCCAAAAGAACATAAAGAAGAAATTAGTGCTTAAAAAAATTCAACCTAGGGACCAGCAGTTAGCGTAATGGCTATGTTGCTGGACTCCCACGTAGTCGACTCTGGTTCGAGTCCCAGACCTGGTGGCTTAAACTCACACAGGGCACATGTGCGTGCGTGCCCGAGGTCCCGAGAGGAGATTGGAGGAGAAGGGATTGTGGCGTGGCCATCTCCCCGGGGAGTGATTTCTTGCTTTCTGTCTCTCTGTCTCTCTCTGTCTGGCAAGCACACATGCCCTGTAGCAAAAACAAAACAAAACAAAACAAAACCCTCTCCAAAAAAAAGAAAAAACAAATAACATGTTCTGTTTGGATGGCTGCAATAATAATTATTAGAGTAAGGATGATGTAAATTTCCTGTTTTATGCTTATGCCTAGTTGTACAGTTTTAGATTTCTTCATTTATTTTTATTACTAGAGGGTACATACCAAAGAGAGAAAGAGAGAGGAAGCACCCCCAGTGGGGAGTCGTCATACTACAATCCCTGTCCTTCATTTGTCCATCCTGTTGGGCCACACAGGTACAGGGCCCAGTGTGCTTCTCAAGCCACCAGGACTGGGATTCAAACCATGGGTAATTAGCCATGTGGGATCCAGCTGCCTTAACTACTAGACCACAGGGCCGGGCCATTTTATATCCATAGTTTCATAATAAGCAAAAAACGGAAAGCTTCTAGCCGCCCTCCCGATACTCCTCCTCCTGCCCTGTTCCCCGGCCCCCCAAAGTGTGCTGTTATCTGTGGGGGCCTTCATTTGTGTTCCCATCTCTGACAGGGTAGAAGAACCGTGGGTGGGCAGAACCGAGGTGCCTGCCCTGCTAGAAGTCTGTGCCCAGGCCTCCGGCAACGTCACTGAGATAAGGTGAGTCCAGGAAGACGCCACCCCCGACCCCAGAGTTCTTCATTTCTTCACTGGGGCCTTCCCTTGGCCTTCCCTCATCTAGACAATTACTGTCTTGTCCTGTATGGTAACAGCTGTGCCATCGGTAACTTCTCTGTGTCCCCAAGGTGGCAGGAGCTCCTGGGGCATGCATAAGAGGCTACACATGGACTAGAGGGTACATACCAAAGAGAGAAAGAGAGAGGAAGCACCCCCAGTGGGGAGTCGTCATACTACAATCCCTGTCCTTCATTTGTCCATCCTGTTGGGCCACACAGGTACAGGGCCCAGTGTGCTTCTCAAGCCACCAGGACTGGGATTCAAACCATGGGTAATTAGCCATGTGGGATCCAGCTGCCTTAACTACTAGACCACAGGGCCGGGCCATTTTATATCCATAGTTTCATAATAAGCAAAAAACGGAAAGCTTCTAGCCGCCCTCCCGATACTCCTCCTCCTGCCCTGTTCCCCGGCCCCCCAAAGTGTGCTGTTATCTGTGGGGGCCTTCATTTGTGTTCCCATCTCTGACAGGGTAGAAGAACCGTGGGTGGGCAGAACCGAGGTGCCTGCCCTGCTAGAAGTCTGTGCCCAGGCCTCCGGCAACGTCACTGAGATAAGGTGAGTCCAGGAAGACGCCACCCCCGACCCCAGAGTTCTTCATTTCTTCACTGGGGCCTTCCCTTGGCCTTCCCTCATCTAGACAATTACTGTCTTGTCCTGTATGGTAACAGCTGTGCCATCGGTAACTTCTCTGTGTCCCCAAGGTGGCAGGAGCTCCTGGGGCATGCATAAGAGGCTACACATGGTGGTTGGGGCTTGTGCAGTAGTCAAGCCACAGTGCCAGAGGAAAGGAATCCCAGATTCGAAACAAAGGACTTTTGAGTCTAGGCAGACATGGCTGAGAGGTGACCCCCGGGTAAAGTAACATGCCATGGCTCTGTGACCAGAGATGACAGGATGACATGCATCCCCCTGACCTGCGTTCAGATCCCAGCTCACCCACTTGCTGGTCTGGGCCCATTCCTGTGCCCTCTGGCCTCAAGCTCTGCTCTAGAAAAGGGGTGCAACCACCCCATATACAGGGTCAGGAGAACTGGATGGTGGGAGCATGTGAAGGCATCAGATTTCTGCCACCAGCTGCAGATCCTGCTTCCTGCTCCTGCCTGTCCTCCCAGAGTGACAGAGGGACTTCAGCCTCTCCCCCAGGCCTCCCCCACAACCATCCTCCCTAGAGAGAACATGCGAGGGAAGGCGGGGAGCCTAGAGTACAAACGCAGCCTCCAGACACGTCCCCACCCCTCCTTTGCCACACTGTGGCCCTTGAGCCCCACCCTCAGAAAATTCTAGAACTACCTCTGGAGCCCTTCAATGTCCTTCTGTCATGTATAAAAAAAAAAATCTCACCAGCTTCTTCACTTAAAATTGTTGAAAAAGCACCACTTTTGGCGTACGGACTCAGGGAAGCAACTGTTTCTCCATCTTAAGCTGAGCCCTGGAGGGGAAGGGGAGGCCCTGAGGCTCAGAGTCCAAGGCCAGGCCTAGGACCGTCTCAGCCTGCCAGAAAGCCACCAAGGGCCTCACACGGGCTGACCCTTTTCTCCTCAGCATTGCCAAGACCCAGCAGCAGCTTTGTGTCCAGCTGGAATTTCCTCGCCAGGAGGAGAACCCAGAAGCTGTGGCTCTCAGGTGAGACCCAGACTTGGGGCCCCAAGGGAATGGCTGGCTAGGGATGGGGAAGAGAACACGGCTGCTTCTGACCAACATTTCTCATTCCCCTGCTCGTAGTCTGTCGGTGTCTGCCCCGGGCTTGGCTCAATCTAAGAGGAAATGGAAAGAAAGAGACAAAGAGACAGAGTGGCAGTGGACACAGGTAGCCTGAGCCTAGGCAGCCCAAGCAACTTGTGCTGCCCAGACAAACTGGGCGCCTTTATTTATAGGGCAAAGTGACCCTACATATGTGTATTTCATGACATTCCGTAGATCTGTTGATGTGTTACAGACAATAAGAAGCAAGTAACAAATCTCTAAGGGCTGAGATATACTGAACCAGGTCTATCCCATGGCGATAAGCCCATCAAGGAGAAATCCCATTCATCTTCTTTTCTAATGGAGAGAAGCCCAGCTGCAGGTGTGGGGAAGAAACAGAAGGCTAAAGAATCTCTCTCTAGGGCGGGCACCACACGCCCAGAGAAGGCTAAAGAATCTTGCAGGGGCAGAGCAGGGATTGGACTTTGCTAACTGGAGTCAAGATGTTTCCTGAATTCCATCAGTTGTGCCTATTGGAAAGCCCCTAACAATCTCCACCCTTTGCTCTGCCTGCAGCAAGAGTCAAAGAAAAGACCAGCTGCAAGGATCTGCCATAGCCCAAAGGGACAGGTGGTGTTTGCTCAGAGCATATCCCCACACCCTCAGGGCCTCTCTCCGACTGTGTCCCTACAACAGTCCTTTGGTGCTCCAAGATTTTTTGTGACCTCTGAGGTCTGGTCCAACCTGCCCCTGTGCTCTCCAGCCCCCTCCAAATGCAGGCCTCTGTTCCTGCCACCCCAGCAGCTTTCAGTTCTTTGAACACCACTGCATTCTCACTGACCTCAGGACTTCTGCACAGCCTGCCTTTCCTTCCCAGAGTGTTCATTTCTCACCTGTCCTCTTTTTCCTTCCCCCGCTAACTTCTGCTCATCCGTCAGATCTTACATTAAATGCCACCACCTCAGGGAGTCCACAAGACTTAGCAGATACTCCCGTTATCCACTCTTACAGCTGTGCGGATTCTCAGCACCCTAATTCATACAGCACCCTTTGGGAAATTAAAATGCCACCTCACTGAACAGAGGCAGCCCAGCACGATTACATGCTGGGGAACAGAGCCTGTCTGGTTCTCAGCGCCCCCTCACTTGCTTGGCTGGGTGCCCTTGTACAGTGAGCAACCTGCACGGCCGTACCAGCTGCCCATCGGGACTCCTTCTCCAGAGCATGTCTCAGAAATGGATAGTAAATTGTAGGACTTTGTGTTTGATCAGCATTCATTTATCCCGCCACCATAAGCTCCTTGCAGGCACAGACCATGTCCCCCGTACTGACCAGGTGCTCAGAAACTGCCACCTCGCTGTCTGCCTCCAGGCTGGCTCACTGTGACCTGGGGACCCACCACAGCCTTCTTGTCCGGCAGCTGATGCAGACGTGTGCCAGGCTGCGGCGGCTCAGGTCAGTCCCCGGTTGCACACCTGGGGCCCCGAGTACTGTGGGTAACTCCAGGCCTTCTGCAGGCCACAGGTCACCCTGGCATTCTCACTTCCCTGCGTGGGAGAGAATCACACATGGCTAGTGGGAGGGAGCCCTGGGGTGGCACGAGGGAGCTCTCGGGTGGTCCTTGGCCTCTTTGGCCTCCTCATCTGTAGGTGATGACCCCTGAGGTACGTCCAGCCTGAAATCCTCTGGAATATACTTGGACCTTTTCAGCTTATCCCAGGTTAATCTCTGTGACGATGACAGTGCCAGCTCCCTGCTGCTGCGAAGCCTCCTGCTGTCTCTCTCAGAGCTGAAGACTTTCCGGTAAGCAGCCAAGACTCACTCAGGCCCCCTCCTGTTATCCCTGAGCCCTGGGCCTCGAGCCTTGGGCTCAGAGAACTCTGAGTCCCACTCCGTGAGCAGGGACCAACGGGGGTCCTGGAGATGGTGTTAGGGGACTGGTCACAGACATGGCCTTGCTGATGCAGAGCTCCATGGTAAGAAAGTTACTTCCTCTTCAAGGCTTTGTTCACTTCTTTATTCCTTTTTCTAGTGACATATAGCAAAATAATTAAAAACGGCAAGACTGAGAAGAACTTCCATGTATCCTGTCCCCAAATGCATCCTTGGACGAAACATTTTCATATTCACTCTCCTCCTTGCCTCCTGCTCCCCCCACCTCTTGTCAGAACCATTCGAAAGTAATTTGTAGGGGCCAGCAGGTGACATGGTAGTTAAGGCACTGGATTCTCACATACATGACTGACCGTGGTTTGAGTCCCAGACCTGGTGACTTGAAATTCACACTGGGTATGTATGCGTACGTGCCCCAAATCCTAGGAGGACAATAAAGGAGAGGAGATTATGGCATAGCCATCCCCCATGGGTAGGGGTGATTTCTCACTTTCCCTCTCACTGTTTCTCTCCAGGGAGCACACGGGCCCTATGGAAAAAAAACTTAAATAATAAAAGAAAGTTGTGTAATCATGCTCCTTTGCCCTTTAAGATTTTATTGAATTTCCTACGAGCAAGGACATTCTTTTCCATAATCCAGTAAAATCATAAAATTCGGGAAATTTAACATTGATATACAAATACAGGCTAAGTATCTCTTATCCAAAATGCTTGGGACCAGAAGTGTTTCAGACCTCAATTTTTTTTTTTTTAATTTGGAGTATTTTCTTTTATTTGAAAGAGATTTTTGCTATAGGGTGTGTACACTTGCCAGAGACAGAACGTGAGAAACCCCCCCCTCTCCAGGGGCATGGCCATGCCACAATCCCTTCTCTTCCATTCTCCTCTTGAGATTTGGGGCATGCATGCACACATGCCCGGCATGAGTTTCAAGCCTCCAGGTCTGGGACTTGAACCATGGTCAGCAATGTGGGAGTCCAGTGATACAACCACTATATTTTCATATACATAATGAGATACCTGGGGGTGAGCTCCAAGTCTAGACACTAGTACACATAGCCTGAAGGCAATTTTATGCATATTTTTGTATTGCAGTATTTTGACTACGACCTGTTTCAGGAGGTCAAGTGTGGAAGTTCCCATTTGTGGCATCAGTTCAGGGCTCAAAACATTTCAGATTCTGGATATTTCAGATTTCGGATTTTTGGATCAGGGATCTATCTTATCTAACCTACACTTCATACTCCAGTTTTACCAGTGGTCCCAAGGATGTTGTTTGCATTTTTTTTTCCCTCAGTCCTGGATCCAATCCAGGATCACAAGCCACATTTAGCGCCATCTCTCTGTCACCTCCTTCAGCCCGGAGCAGTTATTCAGCCCTTCCCTGTCTTTTGGGGCCTTGTCCCTGACGTTTACAGACCGACTATTTTGTAGAATGACTTTCCACTTGGTTTTGTCTGATGTTTCCTCGTGCTTACATATAGAGACTGAATGGGGACACAAAGGATGCTGTGTTCTTAGCACCTCGTGTCAGGGGACACCTGACATCTACATGTCCCCTTGCTGGGGATGGTAACTGTCACCCCCTGCTGAAGCTGGTGTCTGCCAGGTTTCTTCACTTGCAAACTTACTATTTTGCTTTCTGTAATGAATATCTTGCAAGGAGATACTTTACGACTGTGTAAATGTCTGTAAATATCCAATGCTTTCTTAAAGTTTTTTTTTTTTCATGAGAGGCAGAGATAAGAGAGAGAGACAAGCATCCCCGACAAGGTCTTTATGCCGCTGTGCACCCCAGTCTCAGCCAACCTGGATCACTGTGTGTTGCTCAGAGAGGTTCCAGGACACATTGGGTGATCACGGAACCTCCAGCTGGCCCTAAGGAAATATCTTTTCCTTCTTCAGGCCCTCACCCACAAACTTCAGCATGCATTGGTCATTCCCATCTGAATCCGTGATCAATATTATGGTTGCAAAATAGGGCTTTTCTAACTTTCAAAGTTCTTTCCTCTCGACCCATTACATCAAAAAGCTCATTGGCGCGGGGTAGGGGGAGGCGGTGGCAGGGCATCAGTAAAGCACCCGGCTCTATGGAACCGCTCATCTGAGTGGGGTCTAGGTCCATCTTTGAGGACCTGCCTGAGTACCAAGCACGCACGTGTGCCTGTGATCTGGGGCTGGCTGAGGCTGGGGGTGGATTGTGGCAACGAGATTCTGTTTGGGATGCTGTCTCTCTCTTGCTCATAGGAGAAATTAAAAATACAACTTAAAAAGAAAGAAACTCTTTGGTTCTTTGACCCCTTTCCAATACTGCTTCAAAGATGCAGAGCTCACGGTAACAACGGTAACTAGCTAGCTAGACGTCACAGTGCTTCGCAACTCTGGTGTGTGGCGTGAACGTTACCCGAGTGATGTAGTGTAATGTCGTGGAGGGCTACTCACCCAGTCTGTGCTCTGGCCCCCACATGGTGGCTTAACGAGTTCATCGTAGAAGAGCTACATGAAGGGAGGAAGGCCCCCTCCAGCCGCCCACAGGAATCACATCTCCACCGCACATCCTTGCCCTCTGCCACTAGGTATCAGCTTCCCCAGACTTGAGTTCCTGTCTGACCTACTACCCTTTGACCCCCACTAGGCTGACCTCCAGCTGCATGAGCACCGAGGGCCTCGCCCACCTCGCCTCTGGTCTGGGCCATTGCCACCATCTGGAGGAGCTGGAGTGAGTCGCAGGGGTCAGAGACCTGGGGAGGGATGGCCCAGTTGGGGCAAGGCACATGTGGGTCTCTGCTAAGGTGGACAGGGACAGACTTTCTCCCTGGTGAAGTCCAAGAAATTCTGGATGTCACCCAGAGAAGACTGAGCGCTGCATTCTGGGTCTCACAGCGACTCGGGGCGAAAAGCCTCTCCTCTCTGGGCTTGGTTCCCTCCTCCTTGCTCTGCCGAGGCTGGCTATGGCATCAGGGTACAGAAGGGCTGAGGGACAGAAGGATTATTGCGTGTGTGTCTTCGCTCCCAACTTCCTGGGTACTTAGCTGGGCCTGATGTGATGTCATGTCTCCTTTCTATGGGGGACCCCAGAACCTGACGTTTGCATCCAGGAGTAACCCCACAGAACCTGAACTAGGAGCCTAGTCTAGGATCTGCTAGGTCCATCTCCTGGGAAGAGGAGAGCCGACTGAGGGGGTGAGGGGAGCCGACCAAACAGCTCAGCTCCACTCAGGTGCTGGGCAGCTCGTCTAATCCTGGCCTTGTGCTTGGTCCCCACCAGCTTGTCTAACAATCAGTTCGACGAGGAGGGCACCAGGGCACTGATGGGGGCTCTGACCGGGAAGTACAGGCTAAAGACGCTCGAGTAAGTGACGTGGTGATGGTTAATGGGGTGTGGGGAGGGTGGGGGTATGCCCAGGAACTCTGGCACCTCTTGTGAACATAAAACCCAGGTGTCTAGATGGACCCAAGACCTTGGACTTCCTTACTGGGCTTTGAGTGCCATTGAGATGCTTGGTCATGTCCTGGGGAAGAGCATTCAGGCAACCCCACCCATGACTGCGATATCGGTTTAGGTCATGGAAATGACAAGGAAAATGACTTCAGGGATGGCTGGATCTAGGGGCTCCCTATTCATCAGGTGTCTCTTCCTTTCTCACTTGCTCACTCTCTACCCTGGCTTCCTGGACAGGCTGTTCCTGCAGCTGTAGGCATCCCTTCTCCCAGCTCAGTGGAAAGGGAGCACCATTCACCTCGTGGCTACAGTAAAAAGCCCTGGGTTGAGTCTCACTAGACGAGCCTGGGTCACATGCCTACCCCTAAGCCAATAGTGTGGCTCTGAGCATTAAACATTCTCATTGGCCAGATCTGGGCCATATGCCCAGCCTGTTCTCGACCTAGAAAGCTGGTATTTCAAGACTTTTTTAAAAAATCATTTATTTATTTTGGGAGAGAGATTTTTGCTATAAGACAAGTATACTCGCCAGATAGAGAGAACATGAGAAATCATCCCAAGGGGGATGGCCACACCACAATCCCTTCTCCTCTATTCTCCTCTTGAGATTTTGGGCATGCATGCACATGCACCTGGTGTGAGTTTTAAGCCGCCAGGTCTGGGATTCAAACTGCAGTTGACTACTTGGGGGTCCAGTGACATAACCATTATGCCATTGGCTGGTCCCCAGGATGTTATTAACAGAAGGAGAACAAACTCCAGGCAGAAGAAACCCACAGATGTCCAAGGCCACTTGTCTATAGTTGTTTCCTTAGTAACTGGCAACTTCTACTTTCTTCCAGAATTTAGAGTCACCAAACTCTTGGGAACACTAGAAACAACCCTAGTCTAAAAGACACGTCCCCATCCTGCACAGATTTCTGTGTAAACAGTCTCTAGACAGAAAATTGAACAGAGTATTTTCTGCTTTGAATCTCTAACTTTTTCCGATGACCCAAAATGCACTTCGGTTATAAAAAGTTCCATCATTATAGAAATATGTAACAAAGAACTTAAATCCCCTGGAGATGACACCCCCTGAGAAAACTGTGTGTGAATTTTTCTCCAAATGTTTTGAATACCATTTAAAATTAGCCTTTTGCTGAATTTCCTGTAACAGTGAATTTCTCCCACTTTGTCCCACTTGGCTTAGGAGAGGGTTAGGGGACTGGGAGAGAAGGTGCTAGGGAGACCTCTGACCACAGAGCTCGCCTGTCTTCCCAGCCTTCTGCCTCCTCGCCACCCCTGTATGCCTGTACCTCGGCTCAGTTTTCTAGAAGTTTTCTAGGGGGTTAGAGGCTCAGTGAGTTCATTCATGACTCACTCGTGCATTTGATGAATAAGCACTGACCTGGGCACCTGAGCCAGGTGCCAAGACGTATCCGCACCCCACGGCACACATGGCCTGGGGCCTCTCTTCTGACTTCCCAGCACCTGGGGCTGCTCCTTCCCGGTGTCTGTCACCCTGTCCACACAGTGGGCCCAATGTATTAGTACTTCCTGCCTGAGGGAAGAAGGATCCTCAGTGCCCAGAGTCCTCTTCCGGTTTCAGATCTGTCATTTCAATGAGCTCCTCTCACAAATCCAGCTGGCTTCTTCCAGTTCCCCCGATGGTGAAACGCTTAGGGCCACGGTTGAGAGTCTTACTGCCTGGGTTCAACTCTTGTAGGGCAATCACCTGTCCCACTTTGCCTGGGTTGTCTTGGCTTTAGCACCAAAAGTCCCGTGTCCTGGAAAACCCTTCCATTCTAGGCAAACCAGGGCAGATGATCACCTCTTGGTCCTACCTCTCAATGTGTGAGCTTGTGCAAGCCCCCAGGCCTCTCTCTGCTTTGGTCTCCTTAACTGTGGGGATAAGAACAGTCCCTACCTCCTACGGATGTTGTGAGGATTCGCAGAGATACACACTAGGTGCTTAGAACAGAGCCTGGCACTGAATTCCGTCTATGGGTGTTGGCTATTATTATTATTTCCCTCGACTGCCCAGGCTAGAGGCTTGGCTGTGCTCTCACCAGTAACACAGGGTTGGGCCAAAAATGAACGAACGACAGCTTTGGG